GATGGCGCTGTACTTCTGCTCGGGGATGCTGCGGGACCAGGAGCAGTTCCGGCACTACGCCCTCAACGTGCCACTCTACACACACTTTACCTCTCCCATCCGCCGCTTTGCAGACGTCATGGTACACCGTCTCCTGGCCGCTACACTCGGTAAGAGGCGCAGTTCGGAATGCAGGCCTGTGCCCAGCTAGCAGCTGCCCACCCCCTAAAGTGGGTGCCCAGAGGCCACACTGCTATGACTATGGAAGCTCCAGCAGCAGGGACTCTGGACCTGAAACTCTCCCTCTGTGAGTCCCTATAGGGGAAGCCACATTAGGGCTCATTAGAAACCCAAACAAAGGCCGCCCATCATTCTCAGTCTCTGGAGCTGGGCAGCAGGAGGCCTTCACTCTGCATGGGCCTCCCAGGCCCCACCTTGGCTGGTCCCAGGGTACCACACTACCCATCACCCAGCCATGCCGTGCACATAGAGTACCGCACCCCTCTCCCCGATAGCAGGCCCCCAACCACCCTCTCTCCAGGCTACAGGGAGCTGCCAGATGTGGAGCCCAGTGTCCTGCAGAAGCAGGCCGACCACTGCAATGACCGCCGCATGGCATCGAAGCGCGTGCATGAGCTCAGCACCAGCCTCTTTTTTGCCATCCTGGTCAAGGTGAGGCCACCCTCCTGACACCCCCTCCCCTTCCGTCTGCCCCACCTGCCCTCCTGGCAGCTGCTCACAAGGGCCCTGGAGGAGCCCAGGGGCCTTCAGCAGCCAGGGTGGGCCCTGGGGGGATAACACGTCCCATGGCCAAGCCTTGGCTGGAGCCCTGCCCTGCCCTGCAGGAGAGTGGCCCCTTAGAGTCGGAAGCCATGGTGCTGGGTGTCCTGAACCAAGCCTTCGACGTGCTGGTACTACGCTACGGGGTGCACAAGCGCATCTACTGCAATGTGAGTATATGGGGGCATCCAGGCCACAGTTAGGGACCTTCTGTGGAGGCAGAGGCCAACTACAGGGTGCAGACGCCCATCGACTGTGAAATGAGTGTGGGGGCTGTGCAGTTCCCCCCTCAGACACTGAGCCGCATCCTCTAAGCACACTTTGTTTTCCCCTGCCTGTCCCATTCCCTTCGCTGGGGTCTCCTTCATATTTTCCTAGCATCTGGGGGGTCGTGGACCAGGGACAGCCCTTAGTGGACACATAAGCATGGAGGATGGGAGCACAGGCGAGGACCCTGCTGTCCCTGTCCTCACTGGGGATCCAAGCTGTGGTGGTGACTCTGCATCGCACCCTCGCTCAGATGTGGGCTATGCTGGCACACGGAGGTAGAGACTATGGAGCCCCTGACCTTGGTCCCCCTCCAAGACCCAGCACCAAGCCCACTCATGGGCCTTGCCAAATACCCAACTGAGCCTGTCTGGGATGGGGATCCAGGCCAGGGGTCAGGCTTCTTCTTCAAGGTCCCAGAAAACAGGTCCCTCCATAACCAGTACAGGATGGCAGGGTGTACAGCCTTTTCGAGATTTCTTATAGGAACATGGGAGAAGAAAAGACCAGAACGAATATCCATTGCCACTCTGAAAGTGACGCCCTAAACAAAAGGAAGAGACCAGCCTTTGCTCCGGTGGCTATTTATTCCAGGCTCTTGGTGCCTGTCTAAGGCCACCTGATGGAGCTGTTTCAGCCTACCTTGTGGTTAACATCCAAAACACTTTGGGGTGTGCAGAGCCCAGCACATAGTGTAGAATAAACATGATATTAACATGGAGTAAAACAGAAGAGACAGAACAGAGGCCAGCTGGAACCAATCAGCGTTCTCGTCCTTAAGTCCTGACGTGGAGCAGGACAAAAGTTCAGATCTAGATCATCTTTGCAGACAACCCAGCCCTCAGTCTGTGCTAACACCCAGCGCCAGCAGGGGGCAGCAGCCCTCCAGCCTCCGGTGCTTGGTCCACCTCGGGCCCACGTCCCGATGTGCCTGGACAAACCCACCACTTTCCCCGAATAACACACAGAGCCTAGGTACTGGCCTTGTCCTGCCCCACCCTGAAGCTGGCCAGAGTGAGGATGAGGGTGGTACCCCCAGAAAGTCAAGCAGCCAGCTGCTGGGTGGGCGTCAGGTCAGGGAGCTCCCTTGAGGTCAGTCAGGGCTTTGCAGGGTCAATGGTTAGGAGGCTGCATCCAGGCCCAGGTCCTGAGACCCAGCTGTGTGCACCCCCAGGCCCTGCCCCTGCGGTCCCACCACTTCCGGAGGGTGGGCAAGAAGCCGGTGCTGACACTTGTCTGGGATCCTGAGGACACGGAGTCAGAGCCAGTGCAGCAGGTCAGAACCCCGGGCTGGCGCCGCTTTCCCAGAGCACCACTGTGGCCCCGGACCCCGCCCCCTCCCCCGCACCCAGGCTCCTGGTGGTGGGCACCAGTTCACCCACATCCCCTCCTAGCTTTCTGGTACCACCTTCCTCCCTTGGGGACACCCACTGTGAGGAGAGGCAGAGATTGGGGGAGGTTCTGCCTGTCTCTTTAGAACTGGGCCTTTAACTTTTGAGAATCTGATGAAAGCTATGGACCTCCTGCCCAAGAAATTCTGTATAACAAACAGTCTTTACCTAAACATGCTCCCGAGGCCAGCCCAGACCCCAGCGTTTCCCTACCCTAGTGCTCACTGTGTGCCAGGGCCCCAGGGCCTCAGTATTTGAGTGGGCTCAGCTCTCAGACTGGCAACAGAGGCCTAAAGAGGCAGAACAAGTGGTCCCAGGCACCCCGCTGACAGATGGTGGCAGAGCTAGGCTTGGTCCATGGGTCCCTGACCCCCCTGTCCCGTGGGCAGCCCCTCGAGACCCACCTGAGTCACCGCCGGGCTCTGCTGTGCTGCAGGTCATCACCATCTTCAGCCTGGTGGAGGTGGTGCTGCGGGCAGAGGCTGCCGCCCTCAAGTACAGCGCCATCCTGAAGCGGCCGGGCACCGAGGACCTCTTGGGCCTGCAGGACAAGGAGGAGAGTGACAGTGACCATGACCATGAGCAGGAGGACTGAAGCCACACCCTGGCACCACCCCACCGGCCTACCCCACCCACTGGCTTTTAGGAATAGGACCTTTTGACACCAAAGGGGATTTTTAATTTGGTTTTTAACATCTCAGGGTTTTGTTTTTATTTTTTCATTCTATTTTACTTTTGCAGCTCAGTTTTTAAATGAACTGGAGGGGAGAGGGTGGGGCTGGATGGGCCAGTGCTTATCAGAGCCGAGTGGTACCGTCCTCCTGGGAGGCCATCCCCCTTCTCCCAGGCCACCCACTGCCTTCCCCTGCCCAGGAAACGGGGTTTTCAGCAAATCAGTGTCATGGAATAAAATCAGGTGTGAAGTGCAGCCTGGTGTATGGGGCATGGCTGGGAGGCCGGGACGGCAGGGTGCCCCTTGGGCCCAGGACCAGGGATCTGGCTCAGGCTCCACCCGTCACAGCTAAGCTGGGTCACCACCCTCTGGAACCTTCCTGTCAGTTCCAGGATGATTCACAGAGCTGGCCACTTGGCAGATTGATGCCAGCGCCTCGTTCTGGCTGATTAGAAATGTCATTAGTATGCAAGGCGCAAGCTCACCCATCCCTGCTGCTGATGGCTGTGTCCATCCCTGCCCCCACCACTTCCTCTCTGCCTGCCAGACCCCAGATGGGGCATCGGTTCTGTAACACCCCGCTCCCCCTCTTCCCAGGCTAGAGCTCTGGCCCTGTTTCTGCCCCTTGGTTCAAGCCGGTACCTCAGCACCTTCAGTCCCAATCTTGCACCCTGGCAGCATCGAGGGAGCCTGGGAACAAAGTGAGGGCTGGGCCTGTGGGACATGAGAGGAGGGGCCCTCAAACTGGCCTTCCCAACCAGGGAGCGGAAATGGCTCCTGGTGGCCCAGCCTGGCCTAGTCACCTGACATCCACAGATGCCACCCACCATCTTCAGGGACGCAGGGACAGAGATGGCAGGCCCCTGGGCAGCACTCTGTCCCCGGCAGCCTGGCCACAGCCCCTGCTCCTTCCCCACCAAACTAGGGAACCACAGGTTGGCTTCCCCAGGAGCTGCCAAAAACTGAAGTGAGGACCATGGTGACCAAGGGCCCAGCTTCACCGTGCCGTTTCCTTGGGGGTAGTATTAACAAGCTGGTTTGGTCTAGTTATAGTGAATTTTCTTCAAAGGAAAACTCAATGCAGTACCTTTAGGAGGGCCTCGCAGGGACTGGGCATGGCTGCTTTAGTCTGTCACCAGCGGGCTGTGGTGCATTGTCCACCCAGCACTGGGCTGGGTGCTAGAGGGGACAAAGGACACGTGTCTGTCCCTGCCCCCTGTTCCTTTCTCTCCTCTAACACCACAGTCAGCCTTCAGTCTGTCCATCCTGCCATTCAAAGCTGTCCCAAGGGCCACCATCCCCTTTCTGCTCCTGTCCCCAGAGGCTTCTAGGACCAAGTATGTGGAAGAGAAGAGGTGGGCGTCTGGTGGTTTGGTATTTGGATGAGGAGGTTTCTGGGTGCTTCCCTGGCCTGGGTGGCCTAACAGTGAGAGCCCAGGGTGAGGCCCTGTCCCCAGCCCCTCAACTGCCCCACCCTCTGAGGAGGAGTAGCCCTCCTTTCTGCTCTTGTCCCCCAGGGCCTCCCACAGAGGATAGTGCCCCTCCGGAAGCAGTGGGTCAGAGCTGGGGCTCCCTCGAGGGCAGCTTGGGCCCAGGTCAGACATCCCTCCATACACCCCAGCCCTTC